CTATAAAAAACTATTTTGACTTTTTTTCTTGAAATTACAATTTTAAAATTCTAAAATAATTTTGCATATAAGTATATTCTAGATAAAACCATATGTTTATATTAAGTTAATTAGATTGAAATCAGCTATTTTAATATTAATTTTTTTTATTGATCAAAAATTTATAAATACTATATCTATCAGATATTTGATAAATATAAAAGTAATGTATATGTTCATACATTTATTAGATACCTGATAAGTGTAGTAAAATATTTTTTACACTTATCAGGTATCTAATATACTTATCAAATACCTGATAAGTGTATGAACATATATATTATCTTTATATTTATTAGATACCTGATAGGTGTAACATTTATAAATTTTTAGTCAGTATTCTATATATTCTAAATATATATTAGATATTTTAAGAGGTACAATAAATCTAATTAAATTGTTTTGTTTATATATACTATATCTTAAATCAACTTTTTGTGTTAAATTATTATTGAAGTATGTTAGGTATTACCCATTAATCAGAATTATAAAACTAACTTATATTAATTTTTTTAATGTCACCTTAATTTACTTTAATTTTGATTAACTTTAATCTGTTACAAGATTTAATCTGAAACATAACATATATATATATACTTTAAATTTTTATTCATTAAATATAACTTGAGTCTATATTAATTTTTATTAAATATATAAAATTTGAATAAGTATATAACTTTTTAAACTTGTAAAAACATTTTTTAAATATATATGTAATTATTTTTACAATTTTGAAGAAGTTTGTAATAGAGCTTATATATAATTTAAAGGTTCTAGGTATCATTATAAATATAAAAAATAAGTTTCTTGTTCTGATTATAGTAAACTAATTAGATCTATTTATAGTCAATATAATTTGCATAAATGAGAATTTATATGATTAAATATGTTAATAATTTATGTAAAAAGTATATTTAACTAAAGAAAATTATGTATATGTATAATTAGATTTATTTATAATTTTATCTAATTTTATTTAACTTTTTAACTATTTAAAAATTTTTCTAAGATATTTATATATATTATAATTAAAAAGTATAATTTAAATATAAAATTTTTTTATTTTTATTTCAATTTTCAACTATTTAAAAAACTTTTTAAAATAAATATAAACTTAAGATATATAATAAATTATAATATATATATAATTAGATTTATTATCAAATATTATAGATAAAAAAAATAAAAAAAAATAAAAAAATCTATTGAATTTTAACATAAGTATTAGTGACAAGATCATATATAGGAAAACAGATTACAAATAATGAAAGATAATAGAAGTCAAGTTTTTAAAATTAAATTGCTAAATAATGAATTATTAATAATAGAAAAAATGACAATTAGATTTTTACTAATATATAAAAATAACCAATATGTATAATATAAAATAATAATAAAAAATCAGATACACATCTTTTTATTTAAAAAAAATTTGATAGACTTGAATATGTATAAAGAAAAATTTTTTACAATTATAATAAATAAAATAAATTAAAATGGTTCATATTATATTAATGAAAAATTCAAAATAAATTTAGATAATTTGGTTAAATTATTAATCTCCAATAATTCAATATATAATTGATAACAAACAAAGTTTTTTATTTATAGATATAACTTTGAATCTTATACCTTTAATATTTATAAAAAAAATACAAAGTGTTACAAGAATAAGAAGAATATAAACTCAATAGTAGGAGAAATAATAATTGATTTTAAATTATACATATAAAGAGAAGTATAAACTATTATTATAAAGAAGTTAAGGAGTGAAAAACTGATAATAGTATAAAAACAGAGAAGGGAAAAAAATAATTTATAATATAATAATAATTTGGATATCAATAGCAAGAATATTTTTAATGAAAATAATATTAATAATTATAATAATAATATAAATGTTAATAGTAATATTCAGAATTATATAGAAATGTTCTAGTATATTATATGAACAAAAATTTTAAATAATATACTAAAAATATTAATTTTAGTATATTATATAAATGAAATATTTGTAAAATACCTTAGAATAATATGTTCTAGTACACTATATAAACAAACCACTTGTAGAACATTCTAAAATATTGTATTTAGTATATTATATGAATATTAATGTCATTTGTAGAATATTATAGAATGGTATTTATATAGTATCATAGAATATTTTTATTTAATTACTAATAAATATAAGTAAGAAAAATACAATAGACATTTTTAAGAGTATTTTTAAAATATATATATATAAAATAGTCTATAATAATATAGACTAGATAGAAGTATATAAAATAGAGTATTAACATGTTGAGAATAAGTTTACTTGTTAAGCAGCAAATTGTAAATATGTTTTTTATGAATTAGTCTAAGTCTTATTTTTTTATTAATATTAGAATAAGTTAGAATTTGTATTATAAAATTTACTATTTTTTTAATAAATAAATTTGAAACAAAATCTTGTTGAAATAAAAAAAAAATATAATTATATTTATTAGAATTAAAAGGTATAATATAAATATAAAATCATCTATTTTTGTATTAATTTTTTAACTATTCAAGAATTATTTTTAAATAATTTATAGTAATTAACTTAAAAATATATTAGAAAATTTTTAAAAGTAAATATATTTGGATATATTTAACTACTTACATATTTATCTATATAAATCATATTAATTCACATTAATTTGTATTTATTCACATTAATTCATATATTATATTAAATATATTCATATATATTTACAAATATATCTATATATATTTAGTTTTTATTAATTACAAATATATTTATATATATTTACAAGTGAAAATTTCCTGATATAGAATACAAAAATAAAGTCTTTGTATTTAAAGTATATAAAAAATAAAAAAGAATTGTAATAGTTAAATTTATTTGAAATTTTTTTTAAAAAAAAATAGTAAAATTATTTAAAAAAAGAATTATATATTATTAGTATACTTATAAATTTGATATAAATTTGTATTAAATCTTTTAAAATAATTATATGTGTATGCACAATATATAATAAAAAATTTTAACTTAAATATTAATTTTTAGGTTATGCATGTTTTTAAAATTGATTTTGAATTTTTGATATATTTTGTCCTCTTAAACTTTATTCAAAATCTAATTTATATATAGAAATAAAAAAAATATTTAGTTAAGTATATTTTTAATTAAAGAATAAAAATCAAGTTTAAAAAATTTTATTTTTCTATATAAAATAATTTTATTTTTTATGAAAATTATTTTAACTTTTGATTTCAAAATATTTTGATTTACTATGATAACTTATTTTAGTGCAAGTATAGTTTAGGTTCTTATCTTAGATATTTATATAATATTATGTTAAATACATAATTAGAGGATTTATTAGGATAGAATATTTATTATTATGTATTACATTTTTTGAATATTGATTTTTATTAAATATCTTAGAGCAGAGAATTTTTTTACATATGGAAATCATATTTGTTACTTAACATTCGTCACCTATAAAATTTCACATAATTTTTTTTTTGATCATCTGTTATATTATAAACTAATCAAATTAAAAATTATAAATGTATATAATAAAATTTTAAATCTAGTGTTAAGTTAAGGATACTTATATATAATATATTATTTAGAGATAATGATAAAATTAAATTATTAAATTGTACTAAATTTCTCAAATTTTATTAAGTTTATTATCATTTCTAATATCAGAAAATTTTATTAAGTAAAAATTTGTACAAATTTTCAACACCTACATAAATTTGTAAAAATTTTTATTTATTTTTTTTCATTTTTTCAAATTTGCTCACGATTTACAAGACAGAATAATTTTTTACTAAAATATTTCTAAGATAAAAAAAAAGACCTTGTTTTTGATTATAAAATAACATGTATTTTATTCTGATAACTTAATATTTATAGAGATATTTGTATTTAAAGTCAGATGCCTGTGGAAAAATTATGTAAAAATTGCAGAAATATTGTAAAAAATTATGCAAAATTTCATGAAAATATTATATAATTTTTACAATATTTATACAAATATTTGTAAATTTTTGTTTAAATTTTTTATAGATATTTGACTTTAAATACAAATAATTTCACAAATATTGATGCTACTGAAATGAGATATATATTATTCTGTAACCAAGAACCAGGTCTTTCTTTTTATCTTAGAAATATCTTAGTCTTTATACTTCACAAATCACAAGTAAATTTGAAAAAACAAAAAAAAAAATAGATAAAAATTTTCTGATAAGTTGATGCAATACTTGATTGTTTAATTTCAGATGGTTAAAGAATGTAAAAGTTTTTAAAATGAAGGTAAATAATAAAAATTTAATAACAATTTAATAATAAAACAATAAATTATATAAGTTATTACTTCAGTTTAAATATTAATAATACTATAACTTTATTAAATATTGTATTTATTTTGTTTACAAGAGAGAAAATTGGTTTTTCTTTTATAATAATATTTAAAAATTATTATTATAAATATCCAATTCTCAAAGTGAGTCTCAAATTAAACTTCTCATTATCACTTTGAGAACTTAAGTATCAATTGATACTTTTTGTTATTACTTTAAACATTTAGTTAACAATGTGAACCTTTTGTTATTTTAATTCACATATAGTTTCAAAATGTATTATCTAGTGTTATAACATCTATTACAAGTAGATAACAATTTATTTATAATAACTATTAATATTAATATATCTTTTAAAAATAAATACAAAAAATAATATTTAAAGAACAACTTGCACGTGATTAAATTAGAGTTGCTTTTTTTATAATTGGCACATTCTGCAGATCTTATCCAGATCATATTAATGTGGCGTTTTAAATATCCAAAAATTTGGCCAATGCATGAAAAAGTTCCGCCTCAAACTGTCATATCTTTGTTAACCTTATTATTCTATTATTCATCTTTTCAATTCCTAATATTACTTGGAGGATTTACCACATATGGCTACCAAAGCTGCTTATAAAAGATTAACAAAAGAATATGTAGCAATCCAGAAGGTATGTTGTATACAGAACTACACTTTTGCTCATCCTTTTTTGTATAATTTTTTGATTATGTTCGTTACAAAGAATCTTTCTATACGATGCTTTTAGAATCCGCCACCATATTTGATAGCCAAGCCACTAGAAAGTAATATTCTAGAATGGTATTTGTTAAAAACGATTTCTTTTTTGATTTAATAAGAAAATTTGTGACTTTGAAAGCATTCAACATTTATGATTTTTCAAGATGTTTGGTAATAAAAAATTTTATATAATGTTTTTTGATTATAGGCATTACGTTATTCGTGGTCCTCCAAATACACCCTACCATAATGGAGAATATCATGGTGAGGTTTTATAATAAATTGTTTATATTATATATATATATATATTTATTTATTTATTTATTTATTTATATTTAATCTAACGGTAATTTTAATAAATTCAAATAAATTTATTATCAAAGGTACTTTGATGTTCCCCAGTGAGTATCCTTTTAAACCTCCCTCTATTCGAATGACAACTCCTTCAGGTATAAATGAGTTATAATTTATCTAATTATTTCATTATTGTTATTATAATAATAATTATTATTATTCATTATTTCACATTAATCACGCAAATACACTATATTTTTTTTTGTAATTTTTTTAAAAAATTTTTAGGACGATTCCAACCAGATGCAAGACTCTGTTTATCCATGTCAGATTTCCATCCAAGTACTTGGAATCCTAGCTGGAGTGTTGTTACTATTTTAACTGGATTATTAAGTTTCATGGTTGTATATCTTAAATAATCAATTTTTTTTTAATTGGTATTCTTTTTGCTAACACGAATTTGTCGTGAATTTATTTCGAATTTATTGTTGAATTAATTTATTTATTTTAAATAAATAAATAATGAATATTATAGACAAGTAACGAAGCTACTACCGGGAGTATTAAGACAACAGATGCCGATAAAAAGATATATGCTACACGTTCGCATCAATTCAATATGAACGATTCAAAGTTCAGAGGTAGTTTACGAAATTTATTATTTTATTTTATTATTTTATTATTTATTATTTTATTATTTTATTATTTTATTATTTTATTATTTTATTATTTATCAATGTTATATTTAAATATTTAATGTTTCAGTAAATTTTATTTAATTAAATAATCTATAATCTACGAATCCATATTGTTTTTTTTTAAAATAATTTTAGATATTTTCCCGGAACTTTGCATTCCCGAACCTGTGCCTGTAGAAACACTTTATCCTATAAACACGGAATCATCATCATCATCATCATCATCATCTGATACAACTACGGATAATTCGGATATTCAAGGATTACCAAATGATCCTGGAGCAGTCAATCAACAACAAGTTGCCTTAAGGAAAATGAATTTGCAACGTAGACCTCCAGATCGTGTTGAGAATTGTGCGAATACGTCTAAGGTTAATGGCAACAACAATGTTATCAACAATACTAATAACAACAACAATAATAACAATAACGTTGTAGGTCAACGACGGCGTTGTGATCAATGGCGTAAATGGATAATAGTATCGTTGGTATGTCTATACCTTGTTATAACAAAATTGTTGTCCCGAAGTGCCGAAGCTGTTTCAGGTAGTCCCGGTAGTGAAGCTCCTCACATGTAATTCCAAAAATATCAACTATTGATCATCTAAGATGAAAATTATGTTGATCAATACTTCAGTAGGTGATGTGCTTATAAAATGTGGTAATTTATCAAAGAATTATCTCAAAACAAATAGATATCAAAAAGATATAATTCAGGTAAAGAAAAACAAACTATTGATGCAATACTTTTACCGAGTAATAACAGCAGTTTTCTTTGGTAGCGTTGTAGCATTATCATTTAACAAAAAAAAATGGTCTTTAAGAGTGGATTTCATATTATACACATTAAAGAAAAACTTTTATATAATATATATAATTTATATAATATATATATTGTCAGTTGATACAAAATGCACATTATATTTGGCATTAGTATTGAGTTGTATTTAGAGAAATTTCTAGGAAAAGTATTAAAGAAAAGAATATATGTATTTCATATACATAAACACCATCAATGATATTTGTTCATTGATATTATTATTGATAATTAGAAAGCTTTAATCTTTTTTAGTTATAATTTATATTTTATGCATAATAGGTTGTATATTAGGAATTTAGTGAAGTTACACTAAAAAGTAATTAATTGACAAACCAGATATAGAAACACATTATATTAAATGAACCTGTTTTCTTTTTCTTATATGGTATGCGAATTTGTATCGTGTAACAAAACTGTTTCAATAATAATGTTCGAATATTCTTAATTTAAATATATTTCCAGTATGTAAATATTTTTAATAATTTCATATATACATAAACTTTTGTCTCAAAACTTTCCTTACTTTCCTTAATACTTTTTGCTTTCCGTAATGCCTAAAAATAAGAGTTCACTTAAAATGTCACCAAGACAAAGAGTTATTTCGAAACCCCGTAACTATGTATTCTGTTATTATGTTTCTGGACATGGTAAGAAAATAATTTTCGAGAGAGGTTTATATATATATATATATATTTATTTATTTATTTATTTAAATTTGATATTAATGTGGTTGTTTTTATTAATAAAGGTTTCGGACATGCTACAAGAGTCGTTCAAGTGGCATCTGAAATTCTTTCTCTTTCTCGTAAGCATACCTTGTACATAATTTCAAATGCACCACGGTTTATTTTTCAAGGGGCTATAAATCTCGGAGCAAAATATAGACACGCACTCATAGACGCGGGGGTTCAACAACCTCGAGCGTACACAGTTGATAGACATAAAACTATAGATGATTTAAAAACATTTCTTGAGAATAGACCAGAAATGATAGATAGAGAGACAGCTTGGTTGAAAGAAGTAAAGGCTGATATTGTTTTATCTGATGCCCCATTCTTGCCTTGGTGAGTTAGACCTTTAAATCTTTTTTTATTATATTAAGCTAAAAAGAGGTTAGGTTAATATTAATAATAAATTTTATTTATTTTAAAAAAATTTTTTTTTAATATAAAAATGGTATAGTGCGGCGGCTTCCGTCACGGGAATTCCATCAGTTATAGTTAGTAACTTTACATTCGATGCAGTATATAATGGTTTGTGCGAAGGTGATGATTTAGATATAACAATAAATCGACTTGTCGAGCAAGTGGTAGAAGATTATAAGAAATCCGAATTATTAATTCGATTACCAGGATACATTCCAATGCCTTCGTATAGCGGGACACAACTTTATCCCGATTTAAATATTTCGGTGAAATTATTAAATAATGGATGTTCAAGTGTAATTAATCATAATAATCGACGAAATGTAGTTGATGTACCTTTAGTTGTTCGAAAATCAATAAGACCAAGAGATAAAGTTCTTTCCGATCTTAATATTCCAAAAGAAGTATATGATACGCATAAAGTATTGTTGGTCTCTTTTGGAGGACAAAATTTAGTCGGTATAGAGGATTGGGGAAATCCTTTACCTAATGGATGGATAGCAATAGTATGTGGTGACCCTAAAATAAAATTACCCGAAAAGTTTTATGTATGTCCACGAGATGCTTATATTCCAGATTTGACTAATGCAGCTGACGCTGTGATGGGTAAATTGGTAAGAAACATTTAATACATTTAATATATTTAATATTTAATATATTTAATATTTAATATATTTAATATTTAATATATTTAATATTTTATTAATATCAATAATAATCTAATAATAATAATCTAATATTAGGGATACGGTACATGTTCAGAATGTATCGGACATAAAAAACCCTTCATTTATGTTCCGCGACCACAATTTATTGAGGAACTTGGATTAAAACGTCTCATGGAGATTCAAGGTTCAAGTGTTGAAATGCCAAAAGAACATTTTGAAACAGGAAAATGGAAAGATTATATATTAAAAGCATTTGGTATGCCTGGTGTTTGTGAAGATATTAATAAACGATTAACACATGACGGTGGTAAGATATCGGCTAAATTATTGGAGAATTTTTTAGATAATCGTGCCGTAACTCAAAGAAAATCAAAAAATACTAATGGATTTCCTTTAAGTAAAGGTGCTGTTGCACAATTATCATAATAATTATTTAATATGAACTATGTGCTACCGTTTATTTTATTTTTTTAGCATTATATTACCTACATTAACTTTATTTATATATATATATATTATAATAATAAATAATATAATTTTTATTAGTATATTTATTTGGTCTAATGTAATTTTAAAATTTAGAGTTAGAAAATTATTTTTTTCCCCTTTCTTTTACAATTTAGTAATTGGCATTTACCATTTTAGTTTAATTAATGACTTGAATAATTTCTCAGAAGGAAATTTAGGGAAAATTGAACATTTTTTTACATATCACATTTTTACATTTTTTTACATTTTTTTTTTGTTTTCATTGTAAATTGAATAGATTTTTATTATAATTAAATTAGCATATCTCAGAACACATTGTATAAGTTAGTTAATAATATTTCATCATTTAATATTTAAATTCATCTTTATTGGTAAATCAATAAGAAAAAGATTGTTTTATTTATTTCATAACATTTCATAACAGCAAAAAAAATAAGATAAAGCAAACAAATCAAACAAGTACCCAAACCTTCAGATGAAAATGATGATTAATATGAATGAAAGTTTCCTAAATTATTACCTTTGAAAGAACTTTCTTCCACGTTATTCAAAACATCCCAAACTCTTTTAACTGTACCCAATTCAAAACATTTTTTGTAATTATGATTTTTTACCAATTCTGTCAATATCCATACATTGACTATGAAAAATGTCACACTTGCCATCCAAATCCTTAAAAATGTATTTTCTCCCAGAAATTCTACTTGATAAGCTTGATATAGCCAGAATGCCTATATTCAAAATTATCATTCAAAATAAAAGAAATTGAAGAAATTGAAGAAAATAATATTAACACATTAATATATATATATATATATATATAAAATCTAAATTACCTGAGAACCAACCCATGCCAATAACATAAAAAATCCCTTGTACTTGAAATTAATTTTTGTGGATTGGATTATTAAAGGAAATAGACAAATATACCACATAAAATACTAAATTTTTTGAATAAGAATAATATAAAATTATAAAATTGAAAATCATTCTTAATTATGAATTCAATTATTAAAATTATTATTATTAAAAAATCATAAAATTAAAATTATTTTTACCTGTGAAGTACAAACTTTATTATAAGTTACGAATGCAAATGTTTGAATAAAACATGCAAAAAATATGTCTTTTCCAAATACAATTCCTAACGCTGAAACAATTCCAATTTGTGGTAAAAAAGGAATTAAACCCATAATTGAGCCTCTTGAAATTCCAAATGTGAGATATATATAATAAAACCATAATGAAAAATTATGTCTAGGATCTTTACGAGTCACATGATACAAAAATGTTTCGTTCACGAATTCCTGTTGATATCTTTAATATTATCTTTAATATATATATATATTTTTTTTTTTGCGATAAAAAATTATTAGATTAAAAATTTTTAAATTATTATTATTATAATACTTACAGATAATACATTATTCCATGTAATATGAAAAATATTCCCCCACTAATTAAAGTAAATTTGATTCGTGTGGGTGTTATAAATCTCATTATTTTATCTTGCCAGTATCTCCAAGAATTTTTATCATATTCTTTTTCTTTGCCTTTCCTTCTTAATCCTCTATAATCTTCATCATCCAATAAAACCAATAATGGAAGTGAATATATAATTGGATAGATTTTAAAATGAACTGAAATTCCATATAATATACTCGCCAATATGAATTTTTTTACCAATACCCAATATAATGTTAATAAAACCATTGCTCCAATTAATGATTCGGAATTTCCACGCGTAGAAATGCTTGCTACAATTGGATTCAAAAGCCATAACGCGGAATGTTTGGCCGCTTTTTGACTTTCTAACCCTCTTAAACAAAGTATCTTATATATCAAAACCCCTACAATAATGTCCGATAATACAAAAACGAATTTACCAAATGAAACGTGAATATATATATTTGGTGTTAATAGAAAAGCAAGAAGTGGTGTATATCGGTACGTTGCTCGTTTGTAGGGACTTTCACCCAAAGTAACAAATCGTGCCGCATCGGTAAATACTTTATAATCTATATCCGTATATTTAACTTGCATATGTTTGTCTTGCCATTCGCCATATACTAACAGTATTAAACGAAAGATAATAGCAAGTATACAGATTTTAACGAAGGTTAATTTCCGTAAAACCATTATTATGAATTATGAATTATGATTATAATAAATTATTATTATTATTATGATGAATTATGATCAATTATGATAGACTATGACATAATATGACTGACTGATAAAACTGATAGAAGTTGTGTTCGTTACCAAATATCCAAATATGGAATAAAAATTTAAAATCTCGGTAAATAACCCATTTTGGATTTAGTTGTAATACCAATATCAAAAATTGTTTCTCATAAATAATTCGATTTTAATCGTTTCTTCCTTCTCAGAATTTTAATAGATATGACTGTTCAATCAAAGACTATACCTGTAAATCAAGTATCCCTATCTTTCCCCTCTTCACTTTTAACATTTTATCTTGCACAATTAAATTCTCACCCTTTGAGAACCAAAGCTATAACTTCAGGTGTTCTATCTGCTTCGCAAGAGTATGTAGTTCAGTTATTAACCGAAAAAAATAGTAGAAGGAAAGGGAAAGCTAGGGAAAGTGATCGTAATTCTATTTTAGATAATAAGATTGTAAAAATGGGGTTGTATGGTACAAATAGATATATATTATATATATATGTAATTTTTTTGTCATGTCCACAAACTTGGCTTTAATATTAATATAATATATTTATTTTCCATAATCGTTTTTTTTTTCATGTTGAAATTTCACTTTAAGGTTTCTTTATTAGTGGTCCACTCGGTCACGTTCTTTTTGAATCTTTAAACAGATTATTTAAAAATCGTACTGGTGCATCCTCGAAATTATTGCAAATTATTGCGTCTCAATTGATAATTACACCGATACATAATATTGGTACTTAATTTTTAAAGTTCCAATTAGAGTTTTAAATTTTTTCAACTAATGGGTAAATGCTACTACATTTTTTTTTTCAGTCTTTTTGACTGCAATGGCATTAATTAATGGTATAAGGGATCCAGAAGAAATCAAAGCTTTTGTTAAAAAATCTCTTTGGCCAATTATGAAAATGTCTTGGGTAGTCTCACCATTGGCTATGATATTTGCTCAAAGAGTTTTGCCACCACAAATATGGGTTCCATTCTTCAATCTAGTTGGGTCAGTATTCTCTCTCTTTATTATTATTATTATTATTATTATTGTTATTATTGAATTAAATTTAAGAAATTAAATTTATATTTCAATATTTCAATAATAGATTTGGATTTGGAGTATTTGCCAATACAAAGGCAAAAAAAGCCCAGCAATTAAAAGAACGTGATAGTGACCATGATGAAGATTGAGAATAAAAAATAAAACTTTTTAGTTCTGTAAAAAAAAAGTAATTCTACATCTTTGTTAATGCAATGCGTTATGGGTTATTCCAATATTTATACAATGTAATGTGTCTTGATTGATACATGATAAAATAAAGAAAATAAAGAAATCTTATTACTGTACGTTTTTTATAACCTGTAAACGTGAAGTTATGGAATATGATTTTAAATTTGATTAAATATTATTGCATCTTATTATTGCTAACATTATGTAACGAAAGTAATAATGTGAGTCGTATCACATATCTCATCATATGATCATAATGATTTGCGCAGAAATTTTAGGAAATAACTAACAGGCAGTATTGTCAAGGGACAGGGACAAATAATTTTTTTTAAGACGTAAATAATTAACAAAGTTGTTTTAGAATTGATTTTTACATATTTAATGGTACGGACAACACGGGGACGCTGACATGGGAACAGTAAAAAATCCAGGGACATGTAAAATGTGCGGATAAATTTCCAAATTTTTTGTTTTAATAATTTGATATTTGATCTTTATTAATTTGTTTTTTTCTTTCATAGAATGCAAATAGTTAATAAAAAAAAGATTCATTATGCTGCGAAAATCAATGAATTTTATAAATTAAAATTGTACATTTTTTTTTTTTAGCTGATTCTAATAAAAATTATTTTTTGAAGTGATTTAAAAAAAAAGTAATAGCTATATTTACTTAATTACAGATTTCAAATAAATTAAAAAACAAAATAAGCGAAACAAATCGTCTATTTATAAATTTAATATTTTATAATAAATCTATTCGAGAATTGGACCTGCGGCAATGACTTCAGGTACCGTTCGGTCTTGATATTTCTTGAAGTTTTCAACGAACTGTAAAGCCAATTTACTACGGGTCTTTTTAAATTCATCTTCAGATCCTTTCCAAGTCTTTTTAGGATTTAAAATCTCTGTTGGTACACCAGTACAAGATTTAGGAATTTGTAAATTAAATACACCATAATTTTCATATTCGGCGTTTTTAAGTTCCGAAGAGTGAATAGCATCTATAATGGCTCGAGAATATTTGAGCTTAATACGTTCACCAACACCATATGCACCACCGTTCCATCCAGTGTTAACTAGCCAAGCATCAGCAGCATGATGTTCCATCTTATCTGCTAACATCTTAGCATAACGTGCTGGATGTAACACAAGGAAGGGTTGACCAAAGCAAGCGGAGAATGTAGCTTCAGGTTCCGTGACACCTTCTTCTGTTCCGGCAATTTTGGCAGTATATCCTGAGATAAAGTGATACATGGCTTGAGCAGAAGAAAGTTTTGCTACTGGGGGAAGAACACCATAAGCATCACAAGTCAACAAAATAATGTTGGTGGGGTGACCTGATGAGACACAAGGTACTTTGGCGTTGGGAATGAATTCGATTGGATAAGCACAACGTGTATTTTCTGTAACTGAACTATCATCATAATTAACTTCACGGGTATGAGGATCGTAAACAACATTTTCCAAGACTGATCCAAATCTAATAGCATTGAAAATTTCTGGTTCCTTTTCAGATGAGAGTCCTATACATTTTGCGTAACATCCCCCTTCAATATTAAAGATACCATCATCTGACCAACAATGTTCATCATCACCGATCAACAACCTTTTGGGATCTGCAGATAGAGTGGTTTTTCCTGTTCCTGATAAACCAAAGAAAATTGATACATCTCTTTTGTTAGGATCAGGATTTTCATTTGCGGAAGAATGTAGTGACAAAACATTGTGTTTGACTGGCATATGATGATGCATTACGGAGAAACTAAGAACAAGTTAATATCATTTTAAATTTTAAATTATGATTATATGATGCATAAAAGATTTTTTTTAAAAAAAAAAGAGAGAGAGATATATATATATGTATGTAAATCAAAAATCATTACGTACATTCCCTTCTTCATTTCACCAGCATATTCAGTCCCTAAAATTACCATTTCATTCATGTGAAAATTAATAGCAACCGAAGTGGTAGATGTCATACCGGTGGTATAACGATTTGCCGGGAAAGCACCAGCATTATATATCGTAAAATCAGGAGAACCATAACTTTCTAATTCTTTTGGGGTAGGACGAATCAACATATTTCTCATAAATAAGGCATGGTAAGCGCGAGCCGATACAACGCGAACTTTAATACGGTATTTTGGATCCCATCCCGCAAAACCATCAAAAACATAAATTCTCTTTCGAGTATTTAAGTAATCAACGGCACGTTCTCGATTGATAAGGAAAACGTGTTCGGGTAATTTCGTATTAACAGGTCCCCACTTTTAACATAAAAGGTTAAAATTATTATGATCAAAAAAAAAAAAAAAAAAAAAAATCGGGTGATATCAATAAATCTGATATCAAATTTTTCATAACCTCAAAAATCAAAAATCAAAAATCAAAAAAAAAAGTTCGTTATAAAACAATCAAATTTTACCCATATGTCATTTGAGGAACTAGGTTCCTCAACGATACGTTTGTCTTTTGGAGAACGACCAGTCTTTAGCCCCGAGGCAGTAACTAATGCTCCAGTGGAAGAGATGACAGAACCGGATTCATATTTTAAAGCGTCTTCGTATAATTGAGCAACTGAGGGATTCCATTGAATAGCAACGCGGTCATAATCGATATGTGCATTTTCATGGAGTTCTTCTTCGACTCTAGTATGGGAGACTTTAGTGGCGGAAGAAAAATTTTGTGAAAGAAGGGGGTAAATTAATTTAAAATTATTATTAAAAACCAATGAAGGTTTAACTTGGTTAAAAAATTTTCTTGTCAGCATACGTGTTGATGACTGAGACAAACTTTTTATAGAATACATTGTTAAAAAATGTTCGTTTGGTTTTTTTTTGAGAAAAGGAAAATTTGAAAGGAATATTTAAATTTTTTCGCGATTGATCAAAAATTAATTAAAAAAATCGGAAAAGTTCGGAATATCGGAAAAGTTCGGCGAGAATATTAATTAATTCGTGATCCAAAAAACCAAAAATGTTGCATCATAAGTTATTATAGATGAGAAAAATTCTTATTTCCTTTTTTAAAAAATAAAAAAAAATGAGCTGAGCTTTTCTTGACTTTTTATTTTACTTTTTTTGAATTATTAATTGACAAAAAATCTTCATTATCTATTACCATTTTTTTAATGAAATAATTTAAATCGTTATCTCTCCACTTTCCTTTACGTCGAGATTATACAATTTTAGTTTAGAATTTTTCTTGCGCTCACCTAACGCACCCATTATGCAGTGTAACATTTTCACTTAAATGTTCTGCCCCTTTTTTTAATGATTTTGTATTTTCCCATTCGGTTATATAATTATTGTTCTAACGCATACAAACTAATTTAGGTAATTGGATCTTCCCAATTACCGTGTGTGGGGTGAACGAAAGCATAAATGGTGATCAAAATAGTTTATATTTAAAACCTCTCTGGAAGTTGGGGAAGTTGGGCAATTGAAACCAATATTAATTATTAATAGAAAATAATCATCCCAAAATTTCTATAATTTTCATAATTTTCATCTTACGATTTCATGAAAGTCGTACTGAAAATATAAATTGTATTGTCCCCACGCCCGTGCATTTTAATAAATTCTCCGAACATGGGAACTTCCTATTGAAGAATGTAACTAACTCCAATTTTTGATTGCATGATTTTCCGTATATTCCCGAATAGAAGATAATGAACGAATCGGAACAGAACACCCCATATTATTATAATTATTATTAACATCGCCACAGAAAATAAAATGGCTAATAACATAAATAAAAAGTCGGATGATAGTGATTAGTGATGAAGGCTAAAAATGAACCAAACTCAAAGGCGAGAACTTTTTGCTATGAGAACAATGGCAGGTTTTAGTTCCATTCTTTAGATAAGATAAATTTCAATCGATATCTATAGCTTAGTAATAAGATTCCTTTTATTTACATATGAATTATAACAATTTAAATTTTTATTTTATTTATTTATATTTTTGAGTTTTGGAATATTGTAATTTTTCTTTTGATGAATAAAAATACAATAAAGAGATTTCATAATTTTTCATAATTTTCATAATTTCATAATTTTCATAATAAATGTAATGTAAATGTTAATGAATATAAAATGTAAAAATGTAAAAATGTAAAAAATGAATATAAATGTAATGAATATAAATGTTGGATCATGATGATAAATTAATTTAATTTTTTTCTATTAAATAAATTTTTAATATTATATTTCATAACACGAATTCTTCCATAACAACCTTCATCTACTATATCATCATCAGTATAAGTTTCTATTCTTTGTTTTTGACGTTTGTTAATCTTGTTTTTAAATCTCTGCCCAATCGTATTATTGCGTTTAACATTATTATTATTATTATTATTATTATTATTATTATTGATATTTTTATTGATATTTTTATTGATATTTTTATTGTTTTTATGTTTTGTAGAAAAATTAGTAGGTTTTGTCGTAGTATTAGTGGTAGTAGTAGTAGTAATAATATCAGTAATATCGGTAATATTCATGGTACAAGAATTTTTCAAGTTCTTTTCATTCATATTTTTTTTTTATTAATTAATTAATTAATTAATTTTTAATGGTGATTTGAAAAACCATTCATTATTTATATTTTTTTTTTAACTTTGACGTAATGAGTAAAAACCCGTCCTTTTAAAATTAATAAATTAATTACTCTAAATAAAGTAAAAATAAACAATGACACTATAATACATTAGAAAATAAAATATTTTAAATATTACGATTGTGTCAATCCCATTTTTCTTCAAAGGGATATACATGTAGAATTAATATATTTGAAGAATCAGAAAAGCACAACGATCGCTCAACACCGAATCGATTTATGATGTTTTTAATTTTCTCCTGTCCATGAAGAAAAAAAAAAAAATTTGCTGGGCATGAACAATTGAAAAATCCTAAAAAAACAATGATGATTATAATAATAATAATAATAATAATAATAAAATGAACATAGACAGTAAAAATGGAAAATATAACAATTCTCTTATTACCAAGGATTTTATCAGATAAATAGGAGGCTTTTTTTTTTTTTTTAAAAAAAAAGCCCTTTATGATGTAATATGATGACGTATAATATGATGTACCGTTATTACGAAAAAGGTTAAACAAAAACTAGATCTAAACTTGTCTCGTAATTCCATAATGCACACATGTAACAGAGTTTTTTTAAAAAAAAAAACTTTAATCAAACATATAATAATATCGATATAGATATAGATTAAAATATAACTTTTAAAGTAATATAATGATACAAAGTGAAAGTCAACTGAATGAGAAAGAAGAGATAAAAGGTAACCAAAATGGAGAAGAGAGTGATGACAAGGTTTGTTGAAACACATTTATTATTATTTTGAAAAAAAGTGAGGAAAGTGAATATTAAATTAAATATGATTTGAAAATTGAATCTGACATTAAATTTTTAAACAAAGACCGAACGTACAATAAAAAATTTACGTATAACATCTGCCACACCGTTAGAACAAAATACGGAATTACTACGTTTTATCGCAAAAAAAGAAAGTAAAGTTTTAGAATTAAGAGAAGAATTAAAAAGACAAGAAGAAGAATTGAAATTATTGAAAAATCAATGGAAAACTATCGTAGCAAATGATGAACAAGAAAAAAATGGGACATCGACAACATCATCGGAAATTGTCGGAGATGATGGAATCAAATTTATAGGTAAAGGTATTAATAGTGTTATTGATGGTATACATAAAGTAAAGGATAATGAAGTGTAAGTATTTTTTTTTTGTAATTAATATATTTAATATATTTGTAATCTTTGTAATTATATATTTAAATTTAAATATTTTTTTTAGGACTTTAGAAAAAATATCACAAATCAAAACAGCTGTATCGGATGTTGCTAATTCAACATCGTAAGTAAATTATTATTATTTTTATTAATTATTTTTATTAATTATTTTTATTAACATATCATTTTAACCATTTTATTTAAGTGTTAAAAAAACACGCCAAGCGTGGTCAAATATTAGTAAAGGATTTTCATCATTGGTTGAATCTAAAGCGTGTGTATTTTATTTATTTATTTATTATTATTAATTTATTATCATTTATTTATTATTATATCATATTTAAAAAAAAATAAATTAATTTCCTTTTTTATATAAAAAAATCAAAAGGGTCAAAACGGCAAAAAGGAAAACTTTAGAAACAGTACATACAGTAGAGAGAACAATTAATGAAGCATTAATATCTCAAACCAAACCTTCATATACTCAATGTCCCACTACTTCATCTTCTTCATCTCCTATTACATCTCCAAAATTATCTTCATCCCCAACTAATATCACTACTACTAATACTAATTCAACAAATAAAAATTTTAATAATAATAAGATTATAACGAAAGAAATCAAATCTTCTCCTGACATAACTATTAATACCACTTCTTCTATTGTTAATGGATCACCTACTTCACCTACTTCTTCTACTTCCATCATTTCCTTTTCTTCTCTTACATCTCCTACCACCACCACCACCACCACATCTCTTACATCTCCTACCACCACCACCACCAATAACAACAACAACAAAATTATCTTTGATGATAAATCCTTTGATGCAGATGTTTCAAATTTTACTATCACATCAGATATTTCAGATACTGAAGAAAATAATAACAGTAGTGATGATGATGATTGAGAAATGTATTTAATGTAATGTAATTCTATTCATGTAATTATGTATATTTAATTAATAATATTAATAATAACCAACATTAATAATAATAATAATAATAATAATAACCAACATTAATAATAATAATAATAATAATAATAATAATAATAATAATAATAACCAACATTAATAATAATTTATTATCATATATTTTATCTTTTTGATTTTTTCGTTTTCGACGACTATCATAAGAAAATATTGCTCTTTGTGATAATAAATCTAATAATATCATATTCTTATATTATAAAGGATTTTTTTTTTTTTTTTGTAAACTAAAATGTACCCTTTGAAGTTTACATCACTTAAAATTCTGAAAATGTAAATGATGCTGCGTATAAAACAAAGGGGAATAATAATAATTTTAACAATATTTTTTTTTTACTCTTTTGGTTTTTATTATTCGCTTCCCAATACGTGGAAATTGGTAACTTTAATCAATTCCACACCTTTTAAGAGGCGGTAAAGACTTTTTTAGAATCTTTGTTGCGTGTTCTTTATTATTTATTTATTTTAATTTTATTTTTATAAAATGAGATATGATGATCATCATATAATAGATGATCATAATAGATGATCATAATAGATGCGCGGATTTTGTTTCTATTTTTATTTGACCTTTTACATATTTACGGTGGTACTGATACGATAATAACGACGACGTGATCAACAATCATCAAAGTTTTTTTTGTGTCCGTTTTCATTTTCGCGATTAAAAGAGGCTATCATTTTTTTTTTTTTATATTTTATATTTTATTTCGCTTTTATTATTATTATTATTATTATTATATTATTATTATTATTATTATATTATTATTATATATTATTATTTCAAAAATTATAATAATAATAATAATAAAATAATCACAATGCCTGGACGTATGCTTTTTCGGTACACACTTGAGGAAGTAGCTAAACATAATACCATTGACGACCTTTGGATCATCCACAATAATCGAGTTTATGATGTTTCAGACTTCGTTTTGGATCATCCAGGTGGTGATGAAATTATTTTAAGTTGGGCAGGAAAAGATGTTTCAAAAATCATGAGTGACGTTATTTCACATGATCATAGTGAAACAGCTTATAGGGCTTTGGCAGAATTATGTATAGGAGAATTAATTGATAATAATTCACCCAACAACAACAACAACAACAACAACCGTAACGGTAATAATACAAACAACATCAACATTAGTGATAGTAATGTTTTTAGTGCTTCACCTATTGAAAATGTAAAAACCAATCAATCATTACCATATATGACAACAACAGATATAGATTTAGATCTTAAAGAAAAATTTCTGGATTTAAATAAACCATTAATTTATCAAATGTTTAATTGTAACTTTAAAAAAGAATTTTATCTCAATCAAATTCATAAACCACGTCATCTTCCACGTTCTGCTACATTATTTGGAAATCCTTTATTAGAAATATTTACTCAAACTCCTTGGTATCTTATTCCAATTGTATGGTGTCCACAAATATTTTATCATTTATATTTGGCATCAGAAAGTTTAGGATCAAAAATGATCATCATTTTATTCATAATTGGAATTGGAATTTGGACTTTATTGGAATATACTTTACATAGATTTGTATTTCATGTGGATAAATTACTTCCTGATCATCCTTATGCTCTTACTATACATTTCCTTTTACATGGAATTCATCATTATTTACCTATGGACAGGTAAATTTTATATTTAAACAATTAACCTAATTTATCTTTTACAATTTAATCTAATTTTTTCTTTTTAATTTATCTTTTAATTTATTTTTTAATTTATTTTTTAATTTATTTTTTAATTTATTTTTTTATTTTTTTTTTTAATTTATTTTTTAATTTATTTTTTAATTTATTTTTTAATTTATTTTTTAATTTTTTCTATCTATCTATCTATCTATCTATCTCTTTCTATATATATATATATATACAAAGATTACGTCTTGTGATGCCACCAGTTCTTGGAATTTCTATCGCTTTGCCTATTATGAGAATTGGATATATGATTTTTCCCGAAAATATTTCACATGCGTTAATTGCTGGTGCAACATTTGGATATATTTGTTATGACTTGACACATTATCATCTTCATCATGCTCGTCCTTTTAATTCACATTTGAGAGAGATGAAGACATATCACATGAATCATCATTATAAAAATTATGATTTAGGTTTTGGCATTACAAATAAATTCTGGGATAAAATGTTTAGTACCATTTTATTATAATTAATATATTTTATTATAATTAATAATAATAACACAGTTATCAAAATAGTTATTCAAATAGTTATTATTTAGATGCAACAACAACAATAATCACCTTCCGTGAAAGATGAAAAAATTTAATAATAATAATAATAATAATAATTTTTAAGTAGATTTATTAAATAATTAATTAGAAAAAGTAATTGTAAAAGATGCGAATTTAAAGAATTGTAAAATTTCTTTTTATCACAAAATTACAAATTAATATTAATTAATAATATTAATAATATTATTGAAGTAAGCAATATTATTACCTTTTAATTACTTAAAATTATTATAATTATTAAAATTTGGTTGAAAATCAATAACAAATGTTCCTTTTGACAGTACGATATAATTTTTGTATATTGTAATAATTAGTGTGTTACTATACAATTATAATAATTACGTCAGTTGTCAATCAGTTGATATAAATGAGTCAATTTTTACTTCATTTTAAATTAAAATATTAATAGTTTTTGACGTTTTCCCACACATACATAATTATGGAAGGGATTTTGAGCAGTATTCAAACTGATTACAAAAAAGTTGAAAATAAACAACTCGAACTTATTCCAAAAGCTATTGAAAAAATTGATAAAATATCTCAGATTATATACCAAACTATACAACAATTGAAATTTGGTAAATTTATTATTATTATTATTATTATTATCAAGACTTATATATCCTTTTATTATTTTTCAAAAATAATAAAATAAAATAATAATCATTCTAATCATTTGATTTGTATATTCTCCAGATTCTCCAAAAGAAATTGATAATTTGTTACTTCTTTCCAGAACACTTGAAAATTATGCATCACAGGCTTCGGAAGAACACAAAGAGATTCAAAAAATAGTTTCAAAATATGAGAAAGCAATAGATAGGGTAACCGATCATATTATTTACATTTCTTTCTTATTATTCATTCTTTCAAATTAGTTTTTTTTTTTTTTTGATTTATTTTATTTATTTTATTTCAGAAATGGAAACAAGATATAACAATTGCCAGTAATCCGGAAGCTTTCGTTAGTAAGGAGACTGTTCTACAAAGAACAATTGCGTTGCATTTCATACGTCATGGAAAATTTAGATTAGGAGACACCTTTATAGAAGTAAGTAAAATGTGATTATTGCAAAAAATTTTTTCTGTGATTTTTATTTTATTTTTTTATTTTTATTTATTTATTTATCTAGGAAACTGGATTGGATTTACCGAGTTCTTTACAAATGCAATTTCTTCAAATGTACCAAATCCTAGATGCCATAAATAACTTAAATTTGGAACCAGCTCTATTGTAAATCATCAATTTTTTATTGAGCTATTTTCTTTTCACAAAAAAAAAAAAAAAAAGGATTTCGGAGACAAAAAAAAAAAAAAAAAGTAGTTGATTTGGTATTGTATTGACGCAATCAGTTACCAAAATCTATATTGTCTATGCACATTTTACCTTCCCTCACCTCACCTCACCTTCCCGGTGATATCTAAAAAAAAAAAAATTTCAGATGGGCAAAATCTCAACGTGATGAATTAGAACGTCGCGGAAGCTCTCTAGAATTTCAACTTCACCGTCTTCACTTTATTAAATATCTTCTTGAACAACGTCGTGATGAAGCTTTAATGTATGCTAAAACGAATTTTGAATATTTTCAAGCGAGACATATGAAAGGTATATGTTATATTAATTATTATTAATTATTATAAATAAAACATTTTATCGATTCATCTTATATATTATAAAAATTATATATACATACATATACAATTATTTTACATTATTATAATTTTTTTTTATTCAGAAATAAGAAGGCTTATGGGAGCACTTATTTATATTAATCGATTATCTACTTCACCTTATGCTGATTTCCTATCCAATGATGCATGGACCGATATACAACAAACATTCACACGTGATTTCTGTAATTTATTGGGAATGGCGTGTGATAGTCCTTTATATATAAGGTATTTAATTTAATTAAATTGTATTTAAATTTATGTATTTAGTTATTTTTAAATAATTGTATTTTTTTGATTATTTTGACGTGAATAATTTTAGTGTAACAGTTGGTGCTACAGCTTTACCAACAATCATAAAAATGGCAACTATCATGAAAGAAAAGAAGAATGAATGGAGTCAACAAAATGAATTGCCGGTAAACAAAATTCAATTTATTTTATATATATATATATATATATTATTATTATTTTCATTTTTTTTTCATTTTATTTATTTTAATGATTCTTATATGTAGGTTGAAATTCCTCTTACGGATGATATGAGATATCACTCTATTTTTGCATGTCCGGTATCAAAAGAGCAATCCACCGAAGAAAACCCTCCCATGATGATGCCTTGTGGTCACGTAATATGTAAAGAAAGTTTAACCAAATTAAGTAGTAAAGGAAATGGGTGAGTCATTTTTATTTATTTAATACTCTTTGGGTTTATTTTGTATATTTTATAATCTTTTATAAATATTAATATTTTATAATCTTTTATAAATATTAATATTTTATAGACGTTTCAAATGTCCTTACTGCCCCATTGAGTCGATGGTAAATCAGGCAGTGAGAGTACATTTCTAAACAAACAAACATGACAATCGCGAAAATAATGTAATTATGTATATGCGTTTTAAATCTTACTAACAGGAAATTAGATTTTTTTTTTTAATTTTTTTAATAGAAGTCTCGTTTTTTCTTTCCCTTTAATGTCTGTATTATTTTCAAGTTTTTTTTTTTTTTTTTTTTTAAAAAAAAAGGGAAACAAATAAACAAAGGTGTAAACACATTGTAATAAAAATTTATTATAATTCTGCTTGTTGCCTTTTTGAATTTCTTAAACACTAAATTTCATAACTCAGGACAAAATCTCACCGAGCAATAAAATCATTTACTATTGAATATAAAACTTTATGTTCGAGATAAAGTAATTAATAATAAGAACCCGAAAGTAAAGTATCGAGATATTGTTCAAGAAACTTTATTTTGTGCAGGATCAAATATAATATTAGTGTATCATAGTATTCATTCTTTAAATGTAATCGGAAATATCCTTAACTTTTGATATGCCTAGCAATATGACGGTAGAAGCTGTAGAAGCCTATATGTTAATACAGATACTCCGATGCTTTGGAGATGTACCAAAGGTCATGAATGGTTTACGACTCTTTATCGAATAAAGAATATGGGAAGATGGTGCTCACAATGTGCTAGTTATTTTTCCTTGTAGTCTTATGGAAGCTAAGGAAATCGTTCATAGTAAAGGAGGTATGCGTCTTTCTATGGAATATATAAATCTCTGTGTTCTGATTATACTTGCACGCAAAATAGGCTATCATAGTAAGTCGAAATATTTTAGGGCCCGAAAGTCGAAATAGTTTTTTCTAGAAGACGAAATTATTTTATATAGAAGACGAAATTTTTTAAAACTTGATTTTTTTATTCTTTGATTAAAAATACACTCAACTAGGTACTTTTTTTACTTCCATATATAGACTAGATTTTGCATAAAGTTTGAGGTGACGAAATACATCAAAAAATCCAAAATCAATTTTGGGAACATGTATAGTTCTGATGCAATGGATGTGTAATAAAGGTCATAAATGGTTCGCCAGTTTTTAATGGTATTAAGCATATTAAATATGCTTAAATAAACATGAAAATCTCTGTCGTGAAGTCATAACCAACATTATTGGCCCACCTTCCAGTATCCGCCGATTAGACTTCTTAAAAACGTCTAAACATCCTCAAGACTAGAACTTGACATCTACTATTCACAGTATGGGTTTGCTATAGAAGTACAAGGTAAACAGTATGAGCAACATATAAAATATTTCACAAAAATGAAGAAGACTTTGAGAAGCAGTTGATGCGTGATCAACTCAAGAAAGAATTATGTGAAGAGAATTTAATTGCTTTAAGATACGTTTGGTATTACAAAAATCTATACATAGTCATTTCAAATCATCTTCGCGGGTTGGGTCTCATTGAATAAACTCAAAATTTTTAAATGCTTCTGTAATTCACTATAATTTTTTCGACTATATTTTTATTCATCCAGAGTTATACAAAAAATCGAATAAAAATCTTTCCGATACACATATTATTTTCATTTATCTATTCTAACACATTATCCCGACATTAACTCTATGATCCAGTTTCATATGTCCCAATCATCAATATTTTGGATAAAATAAAACTGTCGTCAGTTATACATGCAGTGTAAGAAATAAATCATTAACCTTGGTAAAGCTCCGCCTAAAATTTACGTTATTTGTATTTTGTGGAGGTTTTCAAAAATTCTGAATGAAAAAATGGATAAGCTCAGAAGTCGCACGTGTGCCAGGTTATTTTAATGGTCGGATGACCACCCTGGTGACATATTTATGGGCAATGTCACAAGAGAAAGAATTTTATAGTAAAGTGTGTGTTGCTGGAAGCATCAAATTTGTCGTCGGCGAAGCAACTGAAGAATACATTCAACTATCAGACCTTGACAAATTTTCTTGTAATCTAGCGACAATACTAACAAGAGACAGAGAAGTGGCAGCAGTAAACTTGAAAATTTTACCCAACAAATGCAAAGTTTACATCGCTAAGAACAATGCTTGTAGTGTTGAAAATCTTGAGTATCTCAACAACGTTAAAGAAATCCTGATAAATGTGTTTAAAGATGCTCCCATAACATTCCAACAGGCACTTAATAGAAATGATATGAAAGATCTATCTTTGCTATAATGAAGTACTGTTCTAAAAAGCTCGAATATAGATTGAACAAACTTAGGAATGATATAGCCAATAAAGAAAGCAAAAGATAATATAAAAATTTTTCTAGGACATATTAAAAAGGTGGGATCTTATATTGAGTCTTTGATGGATATCACAAATTGCGTATGTAAAGATAAGTATAGATATGAATTTATTGAATCCTATTCATGCTGATCAACCCATATATTCATGGAAATATGTTGTTCAAAAATTTTTTGTGCTCAAGAAAAAGGATATGAAAATTTCACGAAAACATGTTTGAAAGATTACGTGATAAAGAGTAGACTGGAAGAGATGTATGGTGGCGTAGATAAGCAACTGGAATGTGAAAATTATGGAACTTCCAGATGTCCTCAAGAAAGAATTTGTGTCAAATGCTCTATTTGATCTTGATCAGATCATAGAGCGTGAAATAGAACGTCATTTTAGTAAAGTGCTAAGTTGCAGAAAGTGGATCTAATAATCTAAATTATGATGATTTTAAATTTGTTGATATTTTCGAATTTTAAGATATAAGTAAAAATCATAATTAAGTTTCTATTGTAAGAATTACAGTTTATAATATAATTTTAAGCAAATCAATAATTATAACCTTTAAAATTTTTTATATGATGGTTAAGCAAACTCTGGTTATGACATTCATTATAATATTTGGGATTCCTAAATCAATTATTTAATTTTGTTAACTCGTGACTTATCATTGATATTTTGTAATTGTTGACGATTTTCTTCAGATATTCCTCTTCCTTTTAATATTTCTACCAAATTTCCCATATTATTTTCCTTCCAAGTTTTTAAGATTTTTTTACCTTCGTTATCCAATTTGTTGCAAATATCATCATATAAATTTTCAAACTGTTTAGACAGCGATTGCGCCTGGCTTCCATTAGAAACAGAATGAGCTACGTTAATATTATTTACTACTTGAACGGGTATTTTAGAAGTAGTGGATTGAGTTATTGGGTTACTTGTAGATGTAGGTGATATTGGTTGTGAATTGGAGTTAGATTCATAAATTAAGTTTAAATTACCGAACGGCAAAGCTGAAACGGAAAATTCAAATTTTTTTCTCTTTTTTTTTAGGTATATTACTATTAGTAATTTCTTCAGTATCGTAATATATCCCTTCTTCATCTTCGATTTTTATTAATTCATACATTGTGACAATGGTGTTTTTTAAATAACCTTTTAACCTATTGCTTCCCGGAAAATATGATAGCCATTTATTATTTTCTACAAAATTATTAATATCTTTCAACTGTTTTAGGATACTTTCAAGTTTTATTCGAATTTTTTTAATTGTATTATCAACTTTTTCTTTTATCATTTCTTCAAATAATGATTCTCCTCTTTCTTCTAGGATATTTTCTTGCTTCATTTCTAACTTTGTAATTTCAGTTTTAACTTTAGCGATTTCCTCTAAAACTTCACTTCCAATATCTCCAAAATGAATATCCAATGATTCTTTTAAAATATCAACGTCAGTTATTTCCTTAACCATTTTTGCTTCAAGCCACCGCTTCAGAGTCACATTTTTTGGATTATATTCTAATAATGTACTTAATTGTTCTTGTTTGTTATGAATATTATCAGTTATTTTTTTATAAAGAGTAAAATCCAGTTGTAATTTATCCAGTTCTACTTGCTTATCATTCAGCTTGGTCGTTAATTCATCAATTTGTTTTTGTAAATCGGCAAATTTTTTAGGATCTTTTTCGCCATTTTTATCGTTATTTAAACTTTTCAATTTATTTTCTTCACCTCTTAATTCATTTCTTAACTTATTTATCATTTCTTGTGCATTATCTCCTAGATTATCATTAGAAGACTTTTTTAGTAAATTAATAAGGTTAGACTTATGACTTCTTTTCTTTCCCTCCTTTTTAGTATTCCCAATTAATTTATTTTTCATTTCTTCGATCTCATCGATAGCTTTCTCAACTAACTGATTGATATCTGATAATTCTCCGGAATAACCTTCCTTCAATCTCTGATAGGTTTGATCTGAAATAACTAGCCTACGATCAATGCCTGTAATTTGTTCTTGAGAAACTTCTTGCATCATTTTCTTGTTTTCCTCGTGACTTATGTTTTCCTCTTGGTTTTTGTTTTCCTCTTGACTTATGTTTTCCTCTTGACTTATGTTTTCCTCTTGACTTATGTTTTCCTCTTGACTTATTGGTAAAGGGGGAAGAGGTTTATGTAAATCCGCATCAATCGTTACCTTGTTGAGGTCAGCAGGAAGAAGAAGTGAAGTTGTTGAAGCGTTCTTTCTTCTGTTTTTTGTTTGCTCCAATTTTGTTTTCTCGTTAAGGTCAGCAAGAAGAAGTGAAGTTGTTGAAGAGTTCTTTCCGCTGCTTTTTATTTGCTCCAATTTTGTTTTTTCGTTGAGGTCAACACGAAGAAGAAATGAAGTTATTGAAGCGTTCTTTCTTCCGTTTTTTATTTGCTTCGATTTTGTTTTGCTCATTGAAATTCAATTAAAAATATATCTCGATTTTATAAATTAACAAAATGAAAAACTTTAACTCTATTTATAAAGCTTTGGAAAATTTTAGAAAAGTTAGATATTTTTCTTTTTAAGATAGAATTCGTTATTTTCTTATATTGAATCCATATTTCGATGAGAGAATTCCAATGAAGAAAAGAAAAAGTAAAGCCATACGTAATAAATAGGAAAAAGGAAAAGGCATTTTTTACTCCATCTGTGCAAAGTAGTACCAGCCTTATTCGGGAATTCTTAAAAGTTGGGGTAAACCTTCATATTATTATTGTGATATCAACGAATACAATGGAAATAATGGAAATTCGGATTATTAACTGTCTTGGGAAGGTATTAAACCAACTTTTCTTTGATGATGATTATTTAGTTGGTTCTATGATTTAGTAATTTTAGTCATTTAGTAATTTTAGTCATTTAGTAATTTTAGTCATTTAGTAATTTTAGTCATTTAGTAATTTTAGTCATTCAGTTTATTTAGTCATTTGGCGTTGTTTAATCTATTTAAAATCCAAAAAATTATTTTATTTAAACAAATTTTTAAAACTAAACCATTCTTAAAACCCAATTTAAACGCAATTTAAACAATTGAGAATTTTTTCGTGCTATTTCAACTTACTACACTACTGTATAAAAAATCCCTTACTTTAATTATTGTTTTAACCGTTTTATAAAGTATGTGTATTTAGACAAATTAGTAATAAAAGTAACAAGTAAGCAAAAATAAATTAATTCTCGTTTTTCTTTTACCCCACAAAAATATCAAATATGCTTCATTTAACGCCTCATGTGTTACTTACCATAAAAAGTAAACATAAAAAGACAAGGAAATTTTTTCTTCCCTTTTTTTTTCGAGATACGTGCATACAATCACTTCATCCCCACAAAAAAAAAAATTACGATAATTCTTTTTTAATTTTTTTAATCAGCCCTTTCTCCTCAATTCTTCTCACGCGTACATAAATCAATTTTTTATAATCAATTTATTCGTTATCCAATTATACAAATAAAACTTTTATTTACATCATAATTATTATAATTATTGTTCAAATCTTTACTTTCTTTGGAGATCTCTCTTAAAGAGTTCGGACAGACGATTTATTATAGAATGCCGAAATTACTTTTTATGCAAAGAACATATATAATACATCATTTACGGAACCATTTCAAGAAATGCACGTACGGGATACACAAGCCGAGAAAAAAGATGAGTAATAATTCATAGTCCATTTTATATATATGAACAATAATAACATTAGATTAAAAAAATATCACCAACAGATTTTTACCCTCACGTGTGGTGCCGCAGGGGTTTCCATGTGTCACACCTATACTTGCACGCAAAATTATTTTGGGCCCCGAAATTGCAATTTCGGGAAAAAAAGTTGAAATAGTTTTTCATAGAAGGCAAAATTATTTTACTTAAAACCCGAAATTTTTTGACTACCCAAATAAATTCTTTGATTAAAGATACACTTAACTAGGTATTTTTTTACTTCCATATATAGAATAGATTTCGAGTAAATTTCAAAAAGACAAAATGCCTCAAAAATCAGAAATCAATTTTGGGAACATGTATAATGCTAGCTAAAATCAGATGAACAGGGATCTTCTCAACAAACATCATTATTAACATAAAAATCAAAAAAGGTGCAATTTCTGAAATGTTGATCAAAGACATCTATGCAAGAAAAAAAATCTGATTAGAATATGTGACTTTGACACTAGCTCTGCTATTAATTAACCATGGATGCACAGACATTTAATCACAAACGAAGAAACCTTATTTTGATTAAAGCTAAGTAAAATTAAGTTCTGTGATGAATTTGATGGGTTTATTTTATTTCGAAGATAATTGCAAAATTTTATGAATTGTATTATTTTGCTTTATTAATTTTAACACCTTGTATTTTGACTTTGTCAAGAATTTGCAGAAGGATTAAGATAACAAAAAAATTTATCTTTTATAGAGAAAATCATCAATCATTATTTTTTGTTATGCATTTCTTGTGAGGACTGGAACCCACCAGAAACCATTTCATGTTAAGGCTGGAATTTGCTAGAAATAAAAGAATTGCATTGTAAAGATAATTATACCAAAAAATGTATATAAACTTTTTGGTACATTTTCATTAAAACAACGAAGAGTGTATATAAAATATGGTTAATTGAAATGCTTAACACTTTGTCAATTGTAACTTTATTTATAGTGTAAATCCAATACCATCATGCATTTGTGATCAATTAAACCAAACAATGTTCATTCTATCAGTTTTCCGAAATAAAGTTTATTCTTAGCTCATATATGATTAACTAGTATCACGTTAACCTTTCATGATTAACTCTACATGTCACATTTCTCAAACACATGCTTCGATCATGGGAAATAGAAATGTGCTATGTAATCTGCAATAAAAAATCTGATTATCGTGATTGCGGTTTATAAATACAATTAAATATCTTACTACAAAACAAAATTATAGAAGTATTGGGTGGTGTATTTCTAAATATACGTATAGTTCAGTATACTCAAATACACCTATTATACTTTTTTTACTTTTATTTTCAACTACCATAAAGTTATTTCTTGAATTATACATAAGTTCATATTTATGAGAATTAAGCAAATTCATATACTGGGGGAATAACCTGTCAGTAAATTTACCTATCGTTTTATACATATTGTTTTACGACTTACCCATATTAATATATACTTACTAATTTTCTTGATATCAATTTAGGTTATATCATGAAGTATATGAATCATTTTTTCAGATTCTGAGTTACTCTTTTAATTTCTTTACTGAAATCATTGTCTGATCTTCTGAATGGCAAAGGTATATAAAGTATATTGTAAAATATTCTGTGACATCTCTTTCACTGTTTATTATTTTGAATGTCCGAAAGAGATTTTTTGATCAAACTCATAATCTTCTTCTGAGTTAGATCAGGTTTAGACTTAGAGGAATCAGTCTCTGTTTTAGAACTGAAAAAGTCAAATAAGATATTTTTACTAAAGCTAGTTTTATAACTTTTTGAGTTGTCTATAGACCTGCTAACTTCATCAATTAATGAGATATTTATGCCATCTATTATAATTTTAACATGAGGATCATAGTTTTCTTTAGAAAATAATTTAAAGTTCATTTTAACTTCATGTACCTACAACCACCCTCAACCCAATACCAAATTGAATGTTGGATTCTTTTAAATTTTAAAATATATTACATCAGTATTATCTAAACTTTGCCATTTCCTTTATAGCAAAACTATAAATCTAAGTAATTTATCTCACCTATTATGTCTTCATAAAGACATTCAGCAGAACAACAGCTAGGACATATTCTATAATTTGATCTAATAATATTAAACTTCAAAAATATATTTATTAATGCTTTGACTGGAATTTTTTCTTCTATAAGAGTTTCTATGTGCATTGGTAAAATAATTATATTATAGCAAAAAAATAGTTAATAACTTTATAAATAATTATACATTCTCAAGATTAGAAGTATCTATCTCAAATTTGAATACACAATCCTCTAAGCTAACTGAAAAAATTAAATATAATAGATAGATAGGCTGACTTGTTTTCCTACATTAGATAAATATAATCTATTAAATGAAAAATTATTATGTGGTATCATTTTATATAACTTGATAATTAATTTTTTTTTTTTACTCTGTGATATCATTTTGAATAATTATTTTTTTAAGCACATATATTACATATTTTTCAAATATTCTCAATTGCACTCCTCGTAACTAGTTCCATTAAACAATGTAAGAGTTTTATTTGGAAAGTTCACTTTTATTACATTATCTTTAAACCATAGCTGATCCAATATCAGTACATATTCAGACTATTAATAACAAAAATATCTGTAACTTTTACTTGTTTCTATTTAAGACCTTAAGACAGTATTGAAATCTCTATTTCATGAATTATCTCTACTACATTGAACTTACTAATGGAGTTGTATACTTCTATATCAGAGTTATCATCGATTTTTAAACTTAACCTATTTGCTACTTTCTTATCTATAATATTACAATTAGCACTGGAGTCTAATATGGCTATAACTGATACTTTATGACTTATAGAGTTATCCAAGAATCTAATTTTACAAGATAAACTTATCATTATTATAATTATATATTTAATAATGTATTTTTTACTTTGTATTAATAAATAATATTATAATATTGACAATGGCTAAAGCTACATTAAAAAATAATTATAAATTTCAAAATAGTAATTGTGTGATACTTCGCATTATTAAACAAGTGTTAAATAAAAAATTTAGATTTTTCTTATATTCGAAAAAAGATATACAATTAACTTGTTGAAGGTAGTCACATGATAGTTATATATTTAGAAATTTATTTTTACTTATTATTATTTAAATATATCTAATTTCGAGTATATAGTATGAAAATATAGGATAGTGAAACCTGAGATTCATTATGGAATTATAAACTCAATAACAAATTCAAATATTACTAAAAAGCTTTATCCATGTAAGGCTAAAAGAAAAAAGAAATTTTTAAATAATACTGCATTTAAGTCTTTATCCAAATTCTCATTTGGATCTAGCTCTGAATTTGAATTTGAATCTGAATTTGAATCTAATTCTATTATTGAGCTTGATGTACATGTAATAAAAACAAAGAAACCCGATTAGTTCTAATTATCAGAAGTTTCTTCAATTAGATCAATAATATCTGATACTTTATCATAGCCTTGTTTAATCATAAGGAAAATTGACTTAGGTGTTAGAATAATGGAACTAGTATCTAGACACAAAATTGACTTATTATTTATTATATCATAGTGCTCAACAAATAAAGCATGACCTATCTTATACCTGTATATCAATTGTTACAAAGTTTAACAACAGGAATCATTCTTATTTCCATATACTCTGGAAATATAATCAGCTTTTATTTTTATAATAACTTAAGAACTGATTAAGTATTGTAACATTAGTATTTCTATCTTTATCTTTTAACAAGAAGAAAAATTTGTTTGATATTAATCTCTGAATTTAAATAAGTAATTCTCTTGCTCATACTGGATTTTTTTCTATCAAGAGAAATGGTTAAGGTTCTCTTACTGAATTTTTTTTTATCAAGAGAAATGGTCAGGGTTCTTCTACTTCACCTTTATTTTTAGTATAATCAGTACAATATCAAGAATAGTAAGGATTGTATTATGAGTTATGACTTGATTTATATTGATTGATACTAAGAGATCAAATTTTGCATAGAAGGAGATTTGGCAACATCACACTTACTAAGTTTGTCTTGAACTTTTTCAAGTAAAAGAACTTGGAACAATTGAAACCATTAATTCTACAAAGAATACATTTTCTTGCTTGAATCTGATTTGCTTCTTCAGTAATAAAGGATATTTTCATTACTTCAATGATAAGATAATTAGCTCAGGTTCATGTAGCTCTTTTTGTAATAAATTAAGATGAGAATTTTCTACAACAGTAGTGGAAGCAGAAGAAGCTATATCATATGTTATTTCATTTATTTCTTCAGGTGGAAGATTGTTTTTTATAATATTTTACACAATAACCTTAATAGGATCTCTTTTTTTAACATGTCTTTTAAAAACTTAAATAGGAATAAGAATGTCTGCTTACTCTTTACTCAATTTTAACTATTGGAAGTATCTTTTGACCTGGTTCCTGACTTTTTAAGCTTGCTCTTTTGTCTTACTATCTGAGAGTCTACTAGCTAACTCTTCAACATAAGCATTAAACTATAATAAACTAATTATATAGTCAATTTGTAGTGATTTATAAATGATGTAACAATTTTTGTCATGATTAATATATAATAGTTGAAATGTTTTATATAAACTATTTTGATCTAATATATATTATGGAAAATCTTTTTTTACAAATTGAAATTAATTACCTATAAGTCAATATAGTTATGTCCAAAAATTGAATAAGTCATAATTAAAGTAATTCTATCAGAAAATAGAGTTATTTCAAAAAATATATTTATCCATACATGGTCTTCCTGAAGTTAAAGTATTTAATACTTCTTTTAAAGAAATCTGTTACATACTGAAATATATTAGAGATTAACATATAACTATTTACAATGTTACTATGAGTTTTCTCCACTTTTATAATTTTCTTATTATTTTGTTTTATTTCTTAATTGTTATTTATTCTATTAGTATAATTATTTGATATATTTTATTATTAGTTATAATTAGTATTTATTTATTAGTATAATACAAATTATGTAAATCAATAATGTTGATCATAGTGATCCAGTTACTAGCTAATTTACTGACCAATTTAGTGGCCAACTAATTGATCAACTTAGTGACCAATTGATTGATACAATTACTGACCAAGATTTTAATCAACTTATTAATCAATTTACTGGTTAAATTAAATATTATAAAAAGGGTAAGTTTTTTTTCCACTTCAAGTTAGATTCAAATAATTTTAAATAGTAAAATTTAAAAGGTAATTTCAACTGTAAATTAATTCTATAATCGAATTAATATTTTTATAATCCTAAAGTAACTGGATTATTGATTTTCTTCGTAATAAACTTATATCTTTTATATCAAAACTCTGTTACTTTTCTATTAATTTATATTTTTCAAATATAAATTCTGATCTATAAAATTCTGTTATTATTTTATAAACCATTGATAAACATATTTAACTCTTTACCTTAATTTCTTATATTAACTTTTAAAATTTAACTGTTAATTAATAATTTAATTCCCATGATCATAAATTCTTAAGTCTGTTAATTAGTTTTAGTATTTAATTTAAAAATATTCTTTAATTCTTTTAAAATTATCTTCTTCAATTTGTAAACTAAAATAATTGTTTACAAGTTACTAATTGTAAATTGCCTTTTGAAAAATAAAATTAGTCTAAAAAGTTGACTAATAACAATGGTCTAAGTAATTTTAATTTGATTTTATTGTATGACAACAATGCCGATATTAAATATTTACCTAAAAATTCATTAGTAACTCATCTAATTCATCAATAAACAAGACAGAACAATTTATTACCAATTCAAGATCTAGTATTATTAATAGATAATTGTAAAAAATTAACTCTAAATAACTTTTGCTATTTGTTAACACTAATCAAAAATTGATAAATTATATACATATCAGATATCCGATATGTGTATAATACATTTTTAATATTGGGTACCCAATAGGTGTAGAAAATATTTTATATATATATTGGAACCCAATAAGTGTAAAAAAATATTTTCTACACCTATCAGGTACCCGATATATATCTAATATTAGAGAAGTACCATACACATATCAGGTACTTGATGTGTATATGATTTATTAATTTTTGACCAGTGTAAAAAGAACATACAATAAAAAAACATATTCAAACTTAAAAAATTTTATATGGAGCTTTATATTAAAAATATAACATCAAGTACAGCTGGAATAATTATTAGAACTAGATTATATTGAAATAATATTTTTAATTCAAATTTTTATATCACCTATTATAAAAGAACAAAAAAATCTCCTTTTATCAAAATACCTATAAAATTTGTTTATATATTATAAATACTATTCGTTCTTTACCATATCATATGTTTTTAAATACTAGTTTCATAACTTATTATAAATATCTATTTTCTTGAAATATTGTTATTTTTTCTATTCATTCTTTATTATCATAACTCTTTGCTTGGAAGTTATTATCTTCTTTATACATTCAGAGCATAATTTTCTTACTTATTAATTGTTCTCATCAAGACATATCCTTATATTCTTCTAAATCAGTCTTATCATTTTATACAAATTCAATTATATCCATATCTAAGTACAATTTATCATGACATATACATGCTAAATTCTTATCTTTTTCAGTGATAGTAATGAACTTATTTGATTTTTATCATGATTGACTGCCCATTACCTTAACTGAATTTCTCATTACTCTCAAAATATGTATTTAGGTGGATATAATATTTAAGTGGAAGTTTCTTTACTATTAGTTTTTGATCCATTATTTGTAAATAAATCTAAAGATAATTTGAACTCATTATCTATTGATTCAATAATTTTAAAAAGTTCAAGTTTATCATTTATAGGTTTTATGTATTTAATCTCGAAAACTGTAGATATGTTAGTAAACTTAGATAACAAAGTGACTGAACTTTTATTTGTTATAGAATTAAAGAGATATTGGATTATGTTAGTAATAAATAAGATAAATGATATTCCCCTATCTTTTTCATTGCGATTGGTAGTTAATAGTTCTGTTATTACTTTTTCTAGTTGAAGTGTAATAATTTCAAGTACATCAAATATGGATATATCTGTGAAGATGTTAGTAGATATCTTAATTTGAGATGAATCAGAAAATTTTTTGATATCATCTACCGATTTATATAACTTGACTAC